AGGGGGCCCCCCCAAAAAACGGGGATTTTTTTAAGTTCCCCCCCCCTCTTCTTTCCCGGGGGGTCCCCCCCAATTCCCAAAAAAAACCTGTTTGTGGGGGGGGTCCCCCCCTCCCCCCGCCAAGGGGGCAGGGGGGGTTTTTTTCCGGCAGTTTTTGGGTTTCTTTGGGGGGGCCCTTCTGGGTGCCCCCCCCTTTTCCCCCGGGGGGGGTGCTTTCGCCCCCGACCGGGGGCCCAAAGGGCCCATTGAGGGGGGAGCCCCCGCGGTCTTTGTGGATCCCCCCCTTTCCGGCTTCCAGGGCTGTTGTTTTTTTTTTTTGGGGGGGGGGGGGGGGGGGTGAGTAGTTTTACAAGCATAGAGGGAGGAGAGGAAGAGATAGAGAGAGGCAAAGACGCGGAGACAGAGAGACAGACAGGAGAAACAGAGAGAGAGACAGACAGACAGACAGACGGACAGAGAAGCGCATGGGGGGGGGAGGCAGGCTTTACATTCTTGGTGGACAACCACAAAGAGTACGGACAACGACAAGCCCCTTTCGCAACAGCAGCATCAAGAAACAACAACCACTACCAACAACCAACAACAGCATCAAGAAACAGCAACAAACCACACAACAATCGCAACAACAACGATAACATCAAGAAAAACACCGAACACATCAACAACAACAGCAGCAGCAACAGCAACAACAACAGCAACGACGAGAACACCCAACAATCACCGGCAGACAGCAACAGCAAGCCCCACCACGACCACGACCAAGACTACGAACACCATCACCGGCTACAGTACAGTGTAGCATCTACCCACCTCCCGGGTAGTGACGAGAAGCGACAGCCCCACCGTCTCGAACGCCTCCACAACCTTCGCCTCCCACACGTCGTCCAGCACCAGGAGGGTGCTTCGCAGGCCTGGGCATGTACAACGAAAAAACACGGGATGGTGCACACGTTCTTCAATCTCGGCCGAACAGAACTATCAAGCGCCGATGCTTCGACCTGGACATATTGCTTCGCAGGCCTCAGCAACCAACAACACAGACGGCGGTGCACAAGCACAAGTTCGACCCAACAAAACTAACAAGCGTGGATGTCAAGACCCGGACAACATCCATGGAACGCGAACAGGCACAACAACGAGACCAGCACACAACACCAAGCGCTTGACGCCAAGACCTGGGACAACATCCAAAAGCACATCAACAACAACAACACCCAAGTGTCTTGTCAAGACCTGGGACAACATCCACAAGCACAAACAACGAAAATCAGCACACAGCAAAAAAGGACGACGCATCGGCTCGGTTGTTCGGTTGACGTTCGTTCACCCACCTCCCGTTGGGGAGGTCCGCACGAGCAGCGAGGACAGGTAGTCGGAGGCGGTGCCGACGTCGGTGAACCTCTCGGGGACGCGCTTGGCCACCCCGTACGCGGATCGCTCCATCTCCTCGTTCACCTGCATCATCGCCGGCCACGTGAGTTGCGCCGCGTTCAGTGGGGGGCACCGTAGAAATCCTCGGGGTAAGTCACAACATTAACCAGGTGATGTAGTCTCAACAGGGTGGGGCTACCCGAGATACCTCCTAGGATTTTTTCCCTCATGTCCATCGCTTTCAGGTAAGCGTTGCCATCCCCAGTACAAGTCTGTAAACAGATTTTTAAGACTGTAAACAGATTTGTACATGTTATTTTTTTGTTAGTTGAGGTTCGCTGGGCTCTTCGAGTCAAAAACACGGCAGCTGTGCGAGCTGTTCGACCTTGGGAAACGCCACTGACTGAGGGTAACTGGCAGCTGATTTACACCAACGCATGCTTCACTTTCATCTTGCCATCATGCGTTGATGCCACTGCTATCTTACTCTGATGAGCCCGCTCCGGAGGCGCGCCTGGCAAGACTGGCGTATGTTTTTCATTGGCCAGCGGGCTAGCGCGGTTGGCGCTGACTACCGTAGGTTGTATAAGATATCACACCCCCTGGACCGATTTACAAAGCTCGATTACTCCACGACGAAGAGGATACCGATACTGAAAAAAGAGTTTTCGGAAAGCTCTCGACGAGACGGTTCTAACGCAGCCATTTTCGGTACAGTCATTGTTTTTCCTGCCGAGATACCGAGCTTTCAATATTGGTCCAGGGGGTGTGGTATCTTATGCAACCTACGGCAAAGAAGCACATCCAAAAATTCGTCAGCACTTAAAAAAAAAAAAAACACACACACACACACACACACACACAAACGGCCGAAGTCGGCGGACACACTCCACCCCCCCAGGTCAACAACACAATACCAAGAAGACGGCGGCGACAAGATGCCTCAAAAGGGGGGCGTGTAGTACGTAGCTGATTTTTCCAAATTTTGTGAAAGGGGCCGAGAAACAGTAACTGTAGCTTCCAAATTATAAGAGCTCCAATTTTTTTTGGCTTCGACCTGGCTTCGCAAAATTCCCAAATTTGGAAACATTCCTACCCTTTGGAGGGAAAGCGCTGTGAATGACGCGCCGCCGGGCAAAAAGTACCGCCCCCAATATCGCCCCGGTAGTCTATTTAGTTGGTACACATCCTCGAAAGCCTTCTAGTCGCCAGGGTCAGGGGTCCGAATCCCGGCGAAAGCGAGCTTTGGCTGCAAAGTGAGCTCTTCTTTCGCGTCCGTGCCTGGCCTGGGTGGAAAGCGCTAGTTCGTGTGTCCACATAGGGAAGAGAGTGCTGCACTCTCGCATTAAAAATCGAAGGATGAGCACCGCAGGAGCGGTGGGAAGGGGGCCCCAGGGAGAGGAACCCTTCTGTGTGACCACGGGTTGGAGTAAACGGCACGAATGCTGTGAGCGCTGATTTGAAGTGAAGACAAGCAAAAAAAACACCAGCAGAACAGAGAACGTGGAACGTAAAAATCAAGTATCTACCTGGGCACACGGCGAGCTCCATCATCCGGAGCAGCCTGTCCGCGGCGGAGTGACCCAGCCCTCAGCCAGATCACGCCTCCTGGGAACGCCGCCTGCACTCGGGGGTCTTTGCATCGCCGCCGCAGCGAGCACGCTGACGAGAACATGGGACCGGGGGGGGGGGGGTAGTGTACTCATAGTCGTGCATGCCGTAGTCGTTTGACCATTGACCTCGCATCCCGACAAAGCCGGGACGGAGCACGCCGGGTTCTCACCGGACCAGGCTCTCACATCACCAAGCGCGAAGCGCCGTGAGGTATTTGGCGAGTCGCATGAAGGGTGAGCTGCATCCTGCTAAGGGTGTTCGGCATCTTGTGCTTACTTCCTTGCGTACGGATGACAGCTGCGTATGACTTAATTTATTTTCTGGTGCTTTCACTTCCAGAGACAGTTGTAAGCACTGTGTAACTGCCTCGAGGAAGCTTGACCATTTTAACACAACGTGGTGCGATCATCCCCCGTTGCGCGGAGTGAGGTTTCTCGACCCCGCACAACATGATGTACTCGACCACCATTATGGTTACCGCCAAAAAAAAAACCAGAGGTAAAAAAAAAGACGGTAACCTGGTTGCCGATTTCACGAAGTGAATTGGCTTGTTTTACAACGTCGTTGACAATCGACGAAAACCCAATCCCGATGGCAAACACCGAGTGGGGGGTACTCATGTTTTGCATGCCGAAGTTGTTAGACCATTGGTCTCGCTTCCTCGAGAGGGCAGAGTGGACGGGGGGGGGGGGGAACTAATGTTTTGGACGCCAAAGTTGTTAGAGCATTGACCACGTGTCCTCGAGAGGACAGGGCATTGTTTCCACAGGACTGACGGCCAATCGCTCCTTCCTACTTCGCCACAGGTGCTCAGCAAGGTTTTTTCCTATCCCACCTATCCTTTCGATATCACTTCCCGCCTTTTCAGAAGGGGAGGGAGGCGGGGGTGATACTGTTGATGCTTGATTGAGTCATCTGACCAGTAGTGATCGCGCTCGTCGGTGTGCACGCATGTCCTTCAAGTGACTCTCATCATCACGTACGCCCTGTTCCCGTCGGCAACAGCACCAAACTGAGAAATACCTGATAAAGTCCCGCCCGCCCCATCTCGTCTGCGCATCTCTCTACCAAAACCGGCGCATCGCCCTTTTGTATGCATACCTTTTCCCGTTGGCGACAGAGTCGAATATCACCGTCGTGGCACCGCCGATAACACCCGCGCCCCCCCCCGGCCCCAGCGCCTCCGCCAGCCTGGAAAAATAACAAGACCATGGATGATGTCGACAAACAAGCGTCGTGAGAGCAACAACAAAAGAACGTCGGTGGCATTTCAAGGCACACAACTACCAACAGCAGTTGACTCTATTGTTGCCTTTGTGCGCCTGCGAGGCCACCTACGAGGAGAGCAACCTCCCCCTCCCACCGCCACCACCCAGAATGCAACTCACGCCACCACCGCTGCCACCACTACCAACAAAACCACGCCAACATCCCCCCCATACAAAACCCATCACTAGCGCCGCCCGATGCCACCCCCCCTACCGCCGCCTCCACCGCTACCATCACCAACAAGTCCACCACGACACCCCCCCTACCAACACCACCAACAACGCCACTCTCGCTACCGCTGCCGCTGCCGTCCGCCACCTCCACCACCCCCAACAAAACCACTACGACACCCCCCCATACGAACGCCGCCACCCCCGCTACCAACACCTACAAGTCTAGCGCCCTTCCTCCTACCAACACAACCACCACCACCACCACCACTTCACCCTCCCTAGCGCTCTGACACCCCACCTGGTGATCTCGTCTTCCCGGTGCACGTAGCACGACGGCGTCTGCGGCACGGCCCCGCTGACCTCCGCCAGGGTGTAGGGCTTCAACGCCACCGCGGCGGCGTCGACCCCGTTGTCGAGGTCGTCGTCCGCCAGGAACACCTCCCGGGACTTGTCGTACTCCGAGCCTTGCTGCTGCTCGTCGGTGGGGTTGGTTGGTTCGCACCACGACAAAGAAAGGGGGAAGAACGCAAAACGCGGCGGAATCAAGGTCCGGTCAGTCGGTTTCCCGTCAAATGAACATGAGCGGAACGAACGAAAGGGCACAAAAACACGGCGGAATCAAGTTCCGGTCGGTTTGGACCGGCCAGGCGGGGGTCCCCGTCCGATGAAATATAAGGGGAATGAAAAGGCACATATTGCCTACGCCACCACCGCTAATAGCAACAACAGCTTGCGTGCTGTGAGTGCTACGAGCATTGCAGACGCCTGAATATCTATCCCACAGTAGTCATATCCCTGACCAGACCAATGCCTCCGCTTTCAACAGCAACAACAACAGGTATGCAGCGAGCATCTTGCAAGCATCTTACTACGGTAGTGACATGACACAATATACCACACCCCCTGGACCGATTTCGACTTCTCGGCAGGAAAAGCAGTGACGGTGCCAAAAAATAGCGTTAGGCGTAAGAACCGTCTTGTGGAGCGCTTTCAGAAAACACATCCCTTGATTTCAGCATCCTCTTCGTCGTGGAGTAATCGAGCTTCGAAAATCGGTCCAGGGTGAGTGATATCGGACAGCCATTTACAAAGAAAATAGAACAGGGAGGGGTTACGCAGACAGACCCCACCCCAACCCTATCCCAACTTCCCCGATTGCATGCTTTATATACCCAACACGTTTAATTAGCCGAAAAGCCCTGTAAGGGCTCCTGGTGATATCTCGTGCAAACCTACAGCATCCATCACATCCCGTTCGACTGTGGGTATATCTCGAATGGGTAGTTTTCTGTGTATGTATTTCTTTTTCCTTAATAAATCTATCTCACCATCATGTCCCTGAGGTTGGAGCGTTGTCTTCTCGGCACGCCGCCGTTGGGGATAGCCGGGTTCTGCACCGGTATCGGGTTGGCCTTGTACGATGCCTCCAGCGGATCGCTGCTGTCCAGCAGCGCAAGCACACATCCAGAGAGCACACACATGGGAGAAGCAGAAAGCAGGTGAATGACGAAAATACTTCAAGAAAAAAAAAAACGCATCGTGGGAATCGAGGGGGAACGCTGGGGTTGGTGGTTGAAGAAGCTCGCGAGGTCAATGAAAAGCAGCAGCAGGCGCATCGGTTTTTGAAGAAGCTCGTGAGGGTAATGAAAATAGCAGCGGCAACACCAGTCAGTCGGAACGGTTAATTCGGCCTGGGTCCAGCTATGCTACTCGTGTAGGACACCCGTCACCCGTCATGCAATAAAGGCAAAAGATAAGCTAGATATCTAGGACGAAATACAGCGATACCCTTCACGACCGGTGGTGGCGGGAGGGGGGAGGTACTGCATGACCCTCAGCCAAAATCCTCGAATCTCGCATTTCCCATGCCAGACCAATCCCCCCGCACGACTTGTGTGGTATGTATGAACTTCTCCGGGTGCATTCTGCGTGTCCCCCACCACGAAAAGCACACAAAATCAATTAACTCACTCTTCATCGAGTGCGGGGCGACCACCGCTGTTTCCACGAACGGCTGCCGCAGCCGGTCGGGGAGATAATCTCCGGGGCGCACTGGCATATGCACTTATCGCGCCCTTCGGTGACCAGCGTGGGGGTTAGGTACGGACGGCCAGGCAGGCAAGCGGCCGGTAATTATGCCGGTTAGCACGACGGTGGGGTTGGGTACAGACGACCACCCAAGCAGGCGGCGCAAAATGGCGCCGGTTAGCACGGTGTGGATGGGCACAGAAAACAGCAAATCGAAGCAAGCGGACCAAACACGTATGATGGCGGCGTTTTTATCACGGCTGGATGGATGCAGAAGCACGACCCCCAAGAAAGCGACGCAAGAGATCCCGGTTACCGCGGAGGATCGGCTACAAAAGCCAGCAACGATGACACAGACTAAATACAATACACTTGCTCATTCAACATGTCTCGTATGCATAACTCTGAATAGTGCCACGTGGTGTGTGTTTGTCCGGGAAAACGCCGGAGAAATCCCTTGGCAAAACTACTGCTGTGCAGCCTTACAGCATATTTGGACACCTCCTACTGTCTTTAGCAAGAATGTCAATCAGCCAAATACGGTTTTACGCCCGACCGTGCCGACACGCGCACGGCCAGCGCGGCCGAATCCACGAAGGCGGGTGGGTATTCTGCGCACACCTACGCACCTTCGCGGGGTGCGATCTAGCGTAGGGAGATAGGATGGCGAATAGAGCGTTGGACTCGTCCTGCGTGCAGCCCTCGAAGTCGACCGTGTCCGTCGAGAACCTATCAAATGGATTGTGGGTTAGGGAGTTGGGGTTAGCATTGTTAGTGATACGGCTGGCGCTAAGCCTTAACATTAAGGGTAGAGAATAATAATGCCAGCGTTAGTGTTGGTGTTAGAAAACAGGGTTAGCGTCAGAGTTAATGCTAGTGCTAGGGTTAGAGCAAATGTTTAGAGTTAGCGTTAGTGACGGTGTTAAGGTTACCGTCGCCGTACGTGCCAGGGTGCCTGTTGGTGCTAAATAGATAAGTCGGGATACGGTAGCTGCTCCCCATATCAGGGTTAGCAGAGGAGGAGAAGGGAATGCCAAGGAGACCTTCTCCTAGCACGCCACCACAACGCTCGGTTGATTTCCGCTTGACAATTTCCGTCCTCGTTGTTGTTGCGCCGCATGCGCCATCACAAATGATTCAAAACAGCACACAGCCACCAATACTAACAACAACGACAACAACCTTACAAGCGTCCATCGGTCGACCTCCAAGTTTTCGAGCCAAGGCCCTCCCACCCCTCGACAATCTTTGCGTGTACACACTAGGCTGTGTACAACAGACGGTGGTGGCAAGCCGCAGTGTGCAACAATGTCACCGTCTTACCATCCACCACCTATCCCTCCATCCTCTCGAGGACGAGTGGCCAATGGTATTAACAACGAAGGCATGCAAAACAAAAGCACGCCGCCCCCAAAAACAAGCTCGCACCATGACCAACAAACCTGACCAGTACCCTTCGCAATAAATGTAAGCTTGGCTTTAGAATATAGGTGTTACAGGGTTAGGGTTACGGATAGGGATACGAAGCCCCCCTCTCTGTTTCATAGATAAATGATAATATCTTCGCGAATGCGGTCCAACCTGCTCCACCGAGGAACGCGAGTCCCGCTCACCTCAACCGTATGGTCAGCCGCGGGTCTGGCACGTGGTTGCTGAGCCGCCATGGGCCACTCGACGACCGACCGCCGGCGCTATCCCTCGACGAATAGATTTCCGAAGGGGGCACCCCAAGCGTTACCTGAGAGGGCGAACAGACACGGCAAGAAGCACACAGCAGTACACCAGTCGACACGTCGCCACGCCTACCGTAGGTGACACAAGAGAACACCTCCCCCCGAACCGGTTTTCATGGCTCGATTTCTCCACAACGGAACAAGTGGCAGCGACGAAAACGGCGTTGTTGAAGCTGTCCCGTCGAGAGTTTTCCGAAAACATATCGTTTCATTTGTGCATCCTCTTCGTTGTGAAGAGTAATGGGTATTTGAACACCGGGGGTGTGGTATCTTGTGTCATGTCGCCTGTTCCGCGCGCTGAAGCACCTTCGCAGCTGCCGCGACACAAACCTACAAGGGAGGGGACGTGGACTAAAGCTGCTTTCTCTGAAACCGCTTCCATGCTAGACAACCAACGCATCGATTGCAAGACCACTGCTGTGTGCTGCTACATACGGGTGAGAGGTTGGACAGAGACTGTGGCTAGGAAACCAGCTACAAACAACGCATCGACTACAAGACCCACTGCTCCTGTGTGCTGCTACACACCGTTAAGAGGTTGGCCACCGGGTGGACAATCTTCTTCCCGATGAAGTTTCTGACCGAACTCTTGGCGTTCTTGACCAACGCGAACTCCGTCTCCGTCTTGTTCATCCAGACCATCCTCTCCTGCGGCCTGCCCTTCTGCGGCGGATAGTATACAACCTACACATCAAAGCACAAAAAGGCGGAGAAGAAGGGGTAATCATGCCGTAGTCGTGAGACCAACGTCCTCGCATCCCTACAATGGCGGGACGGAGGGATATGTCGGGTTTTCGCCGGCCCATGCTACGCTTTCACAAGGATGTACCAGTTGTCATTATCCTTGCGTTTGCTGTGCCAAGAGCACGGGGGTTGAAGAGAGGTTTAGGGCGTGAGAATGTTCGTTGGCTGCAATCGTCGTCGTTTGACCTTTTGACCCCGGCATCCCGGCATCCAGAGCGAGAACTAGAGCACGGGGGAGAGGGTGTGTGTGGGGGGGTGAATGCTGTGCACAGCTCCACTGGCTCGGCCCGGTTGACTGAGACAACTTACGTAGCACCGTGAAACTAAGTGGCCGGGGTGTCCGCGTGAAACCAAACACAACGCTGCAAGGAGCGCAGGTATGTACAGCACCAGAACTGGTGCTCTCGCTGCTTGCAATCATTGTGAATTCTCCCACTGGCTGCCACGTGCACAGCAGCAATCGTCTACAAGGACATTCACGTTTTCTGTTCAAAAGAGAACGTCCTTAGAGCGGGGAAGCATGATGTAAACTACACGCACACCCAATATCGCTGCTATATTCTGCCGGGCACCATACTCCTGGAGTGTGTCCTCAAAGAGGGAGTCATGTCCTTAATTTATGGTGCCAATAAAGACGGGGAGTCTGCTGTACATGCAAGACAAGACACCAATGCAGACATGGCGCTGGCCCTTTCAGAATCGATCATTTTACGCGAGGCGAAAACTCGTCATACATGTGACGGTGTGACACCGTACATGCGGCCGCGAGTAATCTCGCCGCATTCGAACCTGACACAAGCTCGCCTCCACAAGCATGGAGAGCTCATGTCCATGCAACAACGTAAAAAAACGGGTGTTGTACCCACCACTGACGCCAAAAAGTGGGGAAAACCATGCGACAGAAGTCCTGAAAACCATGTTGTATTTCAATCTCATACATTTCCAAACATCAAAGTGAGCGTTCTGCGACGACTGTCCTTGGAAACACATCACTGCTGTAGGTAGGTGGCGAACCGTCCTCTCAACCTGGCCGGCGGGGGTCATCAGCAGGTGATACGAACACCCACACCAAAAAAAAGGAACATTCTAAATGCATACAGTTCCATGTTGTTGACCTAAAAAACGTCGTAATGTTGAATAACAAGGGCATGCACGCACGCAGGCTAACGACATACCGAACCAAGGAAACCCTAACCCTTGGAAGTGAACAGTCGGGTCCACTCTTTCAGGTTAAAGATACTCCTCTTGTGGTCGTCGCTCGGTGCAATTAACTACGTGCGAAAACTTTTGCCGCACGCAAGGCGAAAATGGACATTCTTCACGGGGGGGTGTCACAGCGTTATTTCGCTGACCAGTTTAACAACAGTACGAGTTCTTATGCCGTTTCTTGGGCAGTCGAAAACGGCACTCGTCGGAAAGTTATTAATTCCAACGGTGGAGGGACAAAAAATGTACACAGCCTACCACAAAAGTTTTTTTTTGGTTCTGCGAGAGAGGTAGGTCCGCCTCGTAAATGCAAAAGAAAAGAAAACGGTGTTGAAGTCGAAAAAGTCGTCATCAGTAGCCCGCGACACTTCGGAAAAACTGTTCTTATATTATTGGTTCTCTTTCGTTGGACAAGTACCCCTGCTCCAAGCTCCGAGCAGACCCGATGGAGTTCAGTAGCCTACAACATATTGGATGAAGGATGCAATCGGGGAAGTCGGGTTTGGGTTATAGGGATAGGGATAGGGGGTCTACGTACCCCCTCCGTCTTCTATTTACTCATAAACATAAATTCTCGCATCGAGTCAGGCCCTCAGGTTGGCGCGCACGAGCAGCACGCACCACTATTTACTACACTCAAAACCCTACCAGACCTTCCCCCGAGACCCTGGAAACCTGTTTTCTTTTTAGTCACAAGGAGAACGGACGGCACAACGAGAAAAACAACGTCGCGAAGTTGTGCTAGACTAGACGCAACGCGCCAGAGCAGGCGTGGTGGAAAAAACGCGGCGCGATTGAATTGAACATTCTGGTTTTATGCAAGCCGGGTGCCACCTACGCCGCCAGCACTGCTTCAACATCCTGAGGCAAGCTCTGTTGGGTGGGATGTTGCACTTAATTAATTAACAACCGTGAACAGCGACACCGTCTGCGCCAGTGCAGATAGCGAAAGGTAGCGAGTCATTGATTGTAGGTACATTTCCTTTAGACAGCAGCAGCGGTAGCGTGGAATCGTGACGTCAATAAGTTGACGCACACCGGGCCGCGGCCGTCCCTCCGGGGGCGGCGCGACAAGAACAGGTTACACCGAGTAGTTCTGAAAAGAGATGCCCCGCGTGCAGGTTCAATCCACGAAACAGCAGCGGTCTGCACGCGCGCACAAATGTACATGTAGTGGTAGGAAACATGACAACAAACACAGAAAGAAGCTCAAGTAGCTGACGATGAGAAAGCCCATACACGGCCTTGACGGCAGCAGCGCGGTCGGTGGTAACTCCAAGCAAAGACTAATGTAGCTACACGAGACACACCTTTAGAGCCAAGGGGACCATGACAACAAGCGACTGGCGTGATTCCGAATACTTTTTCTCGGCAGCAGTGTGACACTCCAAAGGGCTTGGGGGGCGAAGTCCAACTACGGCTGCTGCTGTCGTAGCGAAAGGTGAGCAGGGTTGGGTGAGCATGGTACTCAACGCATCTTCTGGAGGTGGAACATTTAGTTGGCCCTACGAAAAAGTCTCCAGACGTTCGAAGGTTCTTAGGAGATGGGTCGGGCGAAAGTCAACCACTGCACGGGTATCGTCGCGTGCTCCGCCCAGATCCTTGTGTGTATTTCAAGCTACAACAACGAAGCTTCTCCGCGGACGAGTAAACCGCCAAAAAACATCGTGTTGGTTTGTAATTATTGGTGAAAATGGTACTTTCAGCAATAGCCCCAGAGAGCAGCACGCTCCTCCTCTTGCCGCAAGCGCGGCTGTCTCTCGCTATTTAGTGGTTTTTGCTGTTGCCGGTGGCCGCATAGGCTGAGATCTTACTGGCTGCCTGCTGCTGCTGTGCGTAGTGATGTTGGTGTGGCACCGAACCGTGACGACGAAGGGGCCACCCGTGTAGTCTATATACATTGTAGTGTACACATGTTCCAAGCGCTCGGGTTGTGCATCGATCCATCGACCCGGTAGCAAAATGCTGCTGCTGTGACATACTCACTCATCGCCTAGGCTAGGGAACAACGCCGATATCACGACGACGCTGCAAAGCGATCGCCCGCGCTCTTGTTGATGCCCGGCAAGGGCAAAGGGTTGATGAGAGAAATCTCCCTCGATGCCCCCCGCTCTCGGACCAGTTCACCGATGGGACACCAACCAGTGTGACCCCGCCGTGGCTTTATGGTCTACGCGAGCAAAGAGGGCTTTGGCATTTGGTCCGCAAAACGCTCTGAAAACGTTTGCAGCTACATAGAAACCGCTGCGTTGGGACAGGGGCAGAACAGCATGGGAGAAGACTAGCGTTGTTTGGTCGCGTATGTATGTGTTGTCCTCTCAACAAAAAAAAAATGTGCAAGAGAGAGAGAAAACAACCCCCCCGCTTCTGGTGTTTGTGCTTTGATAGGACAACACCACCGGAAGTTTGACACCGCTGCAACACATCGCGTTCGCTTTCCTAAAGCCACACACCTTGAACCCCGTCCCGTGGAGGCTCTGCTGTATCTCCGAGATTAAGGACACAGACACGCCGCCGCCGCCGCCACCGCCGCCGCCGCTGCCGCCACTCCTCCTCCTCTCTCCTCCATGATGAGCGCTACCCCGATTGGACCTGTAGTCTACTGCCGGCGCCGGCACCGGCGCCGCACCGTTTGCGCGTCCGGGAGTGGAGCTGAAAGGCGACGTGTTGAGCGCATCCTCCCCACGCCCAAGCGTCTCCTCGTAGGAAGGGGGTGGCCTGCGAGCCGTCATGGTGTTGCACTGCACACGCCCGAACGCAGTTCACCGCACCCCAAGAGAAGTCGGCGGAGCAAGACGTAGACAGAATCGCGTTCTCTCTTTGCTTGATGTCGTTGCGAGAAAATTCTCTGCACGTCCAGGCTGCGCAATACAGCAGCAGGGGGTCCTCTCCGGCCGATTTTTTTCAAAACAAGCTTCAACTGGTTCTAGTGCAACGGTCCGATGCCAGCAGTCGCAGAAAGTGTGGGTAAACGACCCACACGGGCGCTGGTACACTCCGGCGCGGCAACCCTCTTGCCTTGCAGTTTGTGCAGCCGCCGGCTGTTGCTGTTGACCTCCGGAGGTCCGCCGGATAGTATACGCGTGGTATGATGTAAAGAGCTGTCCACGTGCCCCCCCGTCAATCCCCGCAAATCCCCGCGGCTGCGGGCGTCCTTGCCATTTTTTCACCACCCTTATTATTCATATGCATAGCACACACTGGGTGGAGTTCTTTGCACAGCACCGTGCACCTGCTGCAAGCCCGAGGGGGCACCTCCCGCCCGATCCCACGTTAAACCTTATTCGTGGCCCATGAACACCGGCAGAATCAAACGTATGCGATGGTGGCCGCGTGAAAATTTATCCGCCAACATCGGCGGACGAATGACTATACGATGCACTTTGTCCGAGGTCATGCTCACGTATGCACTCGCACACCAGTTTCTCCCTGCGTCCAGTCTTCCGTATGGTCGCTGCTCGTGTCCGGCTTCAAACAGAAGATGTGCTTATTTTGGTTTGAGGATCCGGTTCCTCACGTATAGTTTAAAGTCCCCATCAGAGACTGTGTACTGATGAGAACGATAAAAGATCATCCACACAGACAGGCGCCAAAGCGGTAAAATAATGTGGCAAATTGCAAATTGATTGCTAACCATACAATTGTGACCGCCCCCTCCCAAGTATCCCGAATTCAGCAGGACCATCCCTTGCCGTGAGGCGCTTACGTGTCGTGAGGCGCTGTTTTTGACGCACGCCGAGCCACAAGCATCTTTCCCAGATTCATCCGCAAAGAGTATAGGTGCGGGCTTGGACCTCTTCGTCGTTCCCTGCGCCATTTGCCCGGTCAATGCCCACGGGAGTGATTAATCTTGAATAACTCCCACAAAATGTCGGCCGGAAGATCAACACCTAGAGCAAGTGATGGCTACATATGTACCCGTCGCCTGTCGGCCCATCAATAATCCATCATCCAGACAGACCCGAAACCGCACACAAGAAAAACATTGCCGCCACAAAAAAAGCACAAAAACCTCGTTGTTGTGCCGGATGTATCATATATATGTCCTAGCAGTAGCTAGGCCCAACAGGAGGCACCCTTCACTTCCAAAAGTATAAGTAGACGAGCCCCAGCAAGATCAAGCAGAACCTGAAGTATCAACACGAAAAGGCCCAAAATGTCGGGATTGTGAGCTTGCTTGGCACCGATGGTTCCGGGAAATTCTCCAGCACCGCAAGGGCGCGCGGTTCCTGCGATTCAGCCCTTTCGGGTCTACGGGCGTCCTGACAGGGCATGGATCATTTGCAAAAAAAGCTGGTGTTGCGGCATGCCATGGAGTTGCCGCCCTGTATCCCTCCCACGCCAGGTGTTGGCAAGTTCGTAGGTAGGTGTGTCTTTATTATTCGTATCGACCGCGCTACCCGGTGACCAATGAAAAGACGTTATAGTGCCAGCGGCGGGTAAAATCAAGGTCCCTGGCGGCCAACGTCGAAAAACGCACGATGCGCTAAAAAATGCGAAAGCCACCATGAATCTCTCCCCATATCCTTTCACAGAGACACACATCAATCAATAGCTCCACATACATCGATAGCTCCACATACATGCCCTCGCCCGAATCTAGGAAGCCACTAAAGACAGGATTACAGCAAAAAGGGGCATTTCAAGGTTTCAAGCCCAACAAGGCCAGGATATCGTGGTATGCTGCGTAGACTCTTGTCCAAATTTGAAAATCGTACACTCCCAAGATCCAGCAGTCATCGTGTCAGCAGCTATACTACACAGCAGCAGCAGCAGTATAGACGAGTCCAACATACAGTTAGTAACATATACACGATCATCATAGCCCAACACATACCCTCGCCCGAACCTAGAGAGCTACTGATGCAAAGGTAGGTGTGTGCTGGTGTGCCTGCGTGGTTGTGGGAATTGTGGGAAAATCACAGGAGCTGTAGTGAGCCGGCAGGGCTCACATTGGGGAGGGGGCAGAGAAGTACAGAAGAACAATGACCAGCTATGGGTTTGCAAGCCCTCTCACTGATCATTTTCACTGATCATTTGAATATACTGAAGATAGAGTAGTTTAGGCGTCTTGACGATTGATCTTTTCGAGGTCTACAAGCCTAACCTGCCCTACCGACCGCACCGCGACCACGCATCAACCCTTCTATGACCCTGCCTGTGCCCACCGTCCTGTCGCGGGCTGCCCTCATGGCCCATGTGTGGAGATAGCTATTGCGCCTACAGAAGTACACTGGTCTCTTTCTGCTGTACTCCTCTCTCTCTCCCGCACTCTCTTCTACCTTGTTTTTTATGCCGAAAAAAATAAGAGCTAGACCCAAAAGGGTTTAGTAAATCGTTCGTGAACATCCCACACGATAAACTCCGAGCACCCTTTCGTTCACTCCTGGTGACGCATCTTGATGACGCACAGTGCTTCATTTTTCGCCCTCCGACGGAGAACCACCTAACAGCAGTCCCGGGACGTAGGGGGTACGGTATGTATCGATCAAGCACTCGCTACGAACGTGGGGGTTTGTGCAAGCGTGGTTGTGGCCAAAGGAATACCATCACAACAACCGTTATCTTGAGGATTGAGCCGTGGTCTGGATATGGCTTGTCGAGTTAACGCATGAAACACGCAGACGTTCGAAACCCAGGGGGAAAACCTGTGACCCGGTGACTGCCTCTCGAAGATGCCCCGATAGTCCAAGTGTGCTTGAATGGGGTCTCCGAGGAAATGAGCCCGTCCACGTTGCAACGATATTCGAATCAACGAGGGATGGGTCGCTCGCGCTGTTCACCAGGGGGCCGGCCACCATCACGAAGTACAACACAAGAAGAAGGATCGAGGGTGGAATACCTACCTAAGATACATCGGCCTTTCTGCAGCAGATATTTGGTTAATATTCGAACCCCCTGGATCTGCTTTGGTCGTGGGCGGAGGAAAACTTGGGCACTGCGGCTCTCCTCGTCAAGATCGAAGTACAGTAGTGAGGTGCACTTTTTGGTTCTCTCACCTCAGCGTGCACGCCGTAGCCCCGCATGACGGAAATGATTTCTGTCGGATTGTTGTCCTCCACAGCCACCATGTAGAAGAAGCCGCCCGGGCTTAGGAGCTCCTGGAAAAAGGGCAAGGATGGTGACGGCATCACATTCTGCCATCGATGTCTATTGGCCACACGCTTGTGCTGCAACTCTCAGCTCTCATCCCCGAAGCCAAGGCCCTCCCTCCAAGACATTGCGGGACCAGGTAGGCAGTGCGTGTGCAGCAGATCGGGTCAAGTTTTGCACCAGCCGGCTCTCTAATGCAAACCCCAACGATTGCGTAAACCTCGTTTTCTCTTGTGCATGTCCAGAGTAAAGCTTAAGATTTGCCTGCTTGAAGACTGAGCATGCCATTCGCCATGGGTGGAACTCCTTCCTCAACACACGTCGTTAGAGACGTCGCATTCAGCGTCTGTAGGGGTACGTGGAGTTGGTCCGCACGTGCAATTGTGCTACACGTGACGCTTTTCGCCTGCGAGACACACTCTGTGTGTGTTTCTAGTCCCGCCAACGCGTAACCCGCCGCACCTTAACTGCCGGTAGAAACCTGTCTATGACTTCTCGTCCCCGTTCACCCCCTGCCCAGGCGGCTGCAATATCCCTGCAAAATCTCGCGGAGGCGCGGCGTTCCGACAATAATCGTCGCACAAAAAAAAAAAAGCTCGTCGAGAAGGCAAGAGGGCGGACAAGAGTCTAGCAGATATCCGCAGAGGTGCACGCAAGTCAGGCCAAAGGCGTTGTTGAGAAAAAACACAGACTGGAGGCACAAGACTCCACCGTCAAGAGGGGGTTTCACCAGCTGGATAGAACAACCGGCAGAGTTGCCTAACCCGTATTTCAACCCCTGCCTACCCGATCTTCTTCACAAGAAACCCGGGCCTCAAGAAGACTCTTCTGCTCAGCGCGGGGGACATCCGCCCGTCAATAATGGATGCAAGACACCATGGAGAACACACGACGTAAGTTTCCGCTACTGAACAAAGGGCAGATCGCGGTAAGCCCAGCTATTGTCACCACCCACCGCCAACAGTAAAGCGACACCGTCTGCTGAGCCAACTACTGTAGGCTGCGTAAGATATCACACCCCTTGGGTCGATTTTCAAAGCTTGATTAGTCGGGTGGGAAAGCAGTGACGGTGCCGCAAACGGCGGAGTTGGAAACCGTGCCGTCGAGAGCTTTCCGAACACGTATCGTTTGCCTTCGGCATCCTCTTTGTCGTGGAGAAATCGAGCTTTGAAAATCGGTCCAGGGGGTGTAGTATCTTAAGCAACCTACGGTATCGCTTAGAGTATCAATGCTTGCAGCAGTGTTCGGTCATTTCCCCCCCTGTGCTGCGGCGTATCTGGTTTGGCACAGCACACGCAAGACAATGGCCAGCTTCTAGTTCATGTTTGTGAAACGTAGCCTGGGCCACAGAAAACCCGGAAGGCATATCGCTCCGTCCTGGGATGCGAGGTCAATGGCCAAACGACCACGGCATGCGTTTACATGAGAACGCCCCCGCCCCCCCGGTGCGATGCATTCTCTCACTTTGAACCGACCTCCTCCGGTGGTGTTGGAACATAGGGAGGGTTGAACAGCAGGACGTCGACCAGCCCTCTCAAGCGATCCCGCATGCAGATGTCGAGGTCGCAGCAGACAACTTCGAACGGCTCCACCTGTCGAGAATGGCGTGCAAGAACGGATGGTGTTGGGGGCAGCGATGCTAACCTGTCCCAGTTTAGGGGTAGTTGAACTCGCTTCCGTCTATGTGAAGGTAACAGGGCTGGCTATTTATTTGCCAGGCAATCACCGCCAAGCCTTCTTGAGTGTTGATATCGACAAGGTCTTGGAGGAGGAAACTCCCCCGATCTTTCTCCCTGCACTCAGGTCTAGCCAGGGACCCCAACACAATTTCTCAGCTCTGGAGCAGGGCAGTATGTACCCCGAGCTTTATCACCACACAGCTCTAGTCTGCAGACATGAATACGATCAAAGGAACCCCCAGCATGAAATCTGAGTGGCTTAACCCTCTGTTGCATCGCACGTTATTGGCCTTCGCCGTGAGCACGCAAGCCGCGGCAGCCCGCGGGTTAATCTCCGCGGCCATGAAGAGCGGCCGTGGTGGGGGCGGCGGCGGTGTAGGCTGCGAGGGTGTCTCCTCCTTCTCTTCCCTCAGCAACGCGGAGAGGGCCGCCGTCACTAGGCCGCTGCCTGGCCTACGTTGTGAGTTCAGAAGGTCGCCGGGAGGGATATGGGTGGCATCGTTGTTGTACGGGTATATTCGACAAGGATGCACAGCAACCTCTGGCAGCAGCAGGATTGAAGTCGCAGTGGTGTATCATGGGTATTGGGGGATCGATGGCACACGATGCAGGGGGTTCAGGCAACCTTCGGTCACGTGTGCCAGAATACCGGAAACTATGAACACACGAGCCGATGTTTGGACGCTGAGGCACGCCACAGTAGTGATCTGTGAGCTGCAGTTGATGGTGATTTCAACGAATTGGGTAGCCTGTCACCATTAACGCCAACAACAACGTCGTGACTGAGCCATGGTGTAGACTCTTCCAAGAAATGGCAGTCGGCATGTTGCACATAGGTCTATGGACGGATTTCCTACGGGCTGAGGGCTCACGGGATCGCAGGAAATGCAATCTTGATGCTCTCGTGAGCCTGGAGCCCTTTTTTCGCAGTTTCTCCGCCCGTAGACCTCGCCTCGAAGCGAGACTTGCACCTACCGATAACCCTGTGTTGCGAGGGCTCTCCCGGCGTGCCGCGCGCTCTCGGGGCGGACTGCGTGCAGTGCTGGCGATGGCAGAAAGTCGCGTCTCCGACATCGACCATGGATCCACCAATCACGCCCTGATTTCTTGACAGTGCAGGCCGTTCATACATTCGGCAAGCGGCTGACTGACGTGGTTGGGTGTGCGCTGGCTACACGCTACACACCCTTGCTACCACACACGCCAACCAAGCCACCAACTCTCCGCATGACATAAGACAAAGTACTCTGTTGCTGTAGTGCGTCTCCCTTTCGATCCCGGCGAAAAGCGGGGGGGCTAGCGGCCGGTGTCGTGCGCACAGCTGTCTGCAAAACTACACCCGCCCGAGAAAAAAAAAAACATGATTAAATACGTTGTTTGTTCCTCCGTTTCATGGGGGAAGAAGCATTTTTTTCGCAAATAAATATCTCTAGCTATATACCTACTGCACTACACTTGGGGGCCCCAAGTGTACTTGGGGGGCGAGTTGCATACTCCCATGACGAACCAAGATAATAGTAAAGTTTTGGTGTATCACACATGCTCTATGGGCACGACGGTGACACCAGGGCGTCGCCTACTAGCGTGGCTGGTGGCTGGCCTACTTGCCGCACAGATGGATCACAGCAGTTTACTGTAGAATGGCTAATTGTATACAGGGACATATGATGATGCTCCGCATCCCACCAACACACACCAACACACGAACTTCTACACACAGTCATCTGACTCCCCAGACCCTCTGGCAGAGCATATAGCAATATTACTGCTGCTGTGGGTAGTTTACAAATTTTCTCTGCTTTTGCTTGCTACGTACACACAACGTGTTGGAACGTGTGATGATTTGTGCTGCTTTTTTTCCTCGCCTGCCTCCCGTACTCAACCAACAACAACCCTGATTCTCACCACCGGCGGCTGTACATCCATCAGATCACATACATACATGCGAAGACCATGCATCCTAGAAGAAGCGAACTTTATTCAGCTACATACAACATCTCGCTGAGGCGGTGGGTAGCACATGCGAGAGGGGGAAGAGAGAGAGAGAAAAAAAGCTGTTTGCTTGGTGTATCTTTCTCAAGTTTTACTAGTCGACACACTCACTCAATCCCCTCCCCCCCCGTAACCCCTCGTGTCTTGTACGAATAGTAGAGTATTTTAGGGGTCGCTCGTCTGTTTTCTTATTGAGTCAAAGGCGTTTCTTCTATTGTGTGGCCCAGAGGTTGAGCAATGTATTATGTTACTTTCTTTCCTGCCTTTGTTTCTCAAAAACAAATTTCTTACTCCGAGTAAATAATACTCACTCTCTGTCCTCCGGCTGTCGCACAACATTGAATTTGTTCATGGTGCGTCAATGAATGCTCCTTCGAACAAACAACAATAAATCGACTTTTTCCCTCTTCGCAGCATCTTTTCTTCGTATCTCTTATTTCAAAACTCCACACACCCGCACACACTTGCCATCGCCATTGAACCTACGAGCGTAGCGGCCACCGCGAAGCGGTACGCCGCGAAGCGCCCTTGTATGTTATACGAAATGTGCTCCACCGCTAGGTAGCGGGGGTAAGAAGATATCGACGGAGAGATTTGCAGCTTGGACAACGCTCTTTGGTGGTCTAAATTTAAGCATAGCTGATAATCCACGGGCTACACTCTCAGCATCAGCACCTGCTACAGCAACAAGTTACTGTCAGAGAGAGACATCCCAAGCCGGAGACGGCCACCGAGGTTGGAATTTGAGGTTGCGCCGCATTGAACTGGAGTTGCGCCGCATTGCCGCATTTCGCATCATCCGCCCTCCGCCCTCCCCTTGATAGCTCCCTCCCTTACATCTCACTTGGTGAACATGTACACCACCTGTTGCCGAGCTTGAGCTTGTTTTTTCTACCAAGAGGAAAGAGGCGGTTCATTTTCTTTCTGGGTAACCATGAGCACCACCGCCGTGAATCTTACCCTATCTCCAAGCACACCCTTGGTCGGACGCTGTACCGCAATAGGTCCGCATCAGCCTGCAGGGCATCGATCAAGAGATAGGTGTCCTCCGCTGGCTCGTAGAAATGGTCGTACTCTCGGAAGTTGAAGTGGTCCAGGCTAGGCAGGGACATAGCAAGCCAGTGAGAGAGGTGGAGAGACTGCTGTGGTCTGTGAATGGCAGAGGAAGGATTGATACAAGGGGCTCCGTGACGTTAAGGATGGGGGGGCGCTCGAACCCGGCGAACACGCCAAGACGTCCGCGCTCCGCACCACTTGCCACCGCATTGCCACAGGCCACAGGCAGGCAGAGAGGGCAGATACCTCCCACAGCCTGGAGCAACATGTCGCACGCTCAGATGTTGTCGCTGTACCGCCACATCATCCGTAACGCCCGCGTTTACCCGAGCAAGAGTCGGGATCGTGTGTTGAAGGAGATTCGCCTTGAGGTGAGGAATTGCTTGCTATGCATATACGGCGGTGGCAATGCTGTTGTTTCAGATTGTACTGCTGTTGTCTACTGCTGTCTACTGCTGTACTCCAATGCAAACATCATATCAGCTACCAGCATGTAGGATCACCAGGCAGAGTAGAGAAACTCTAAATATCTAAGCATCACAGCGAAAATTGAAGGCTTGTGGATAGATCACGAAATATTTGTTTCGTTTGGTTGAGTTGAGGACAACGACACCAACTGCTGTCTCTCGCGCCATGGATACCAACGATCTATGAGAGGCATGCACTCCTGTCTGTGCGTGAGGATGGGACCCCCTGTGGAATGCAAGAGGGTCAGCATTGCACGGCCGTTGTAGTATGTAGATATCAGGTGATGGTCAAGGAATGGAAACGTGATAGTTTAGGCGTAACTGACCAAAAAGCTTACAATCGTGGGACGCCAACACATGCCGCGAAGAGCTGATTCCAAGTCGCTGTTTCTGCTTTGCACTTTGTTGAGGCCTCAACAAGATTCATCGACGTCTGAGATATACATAGCGGTAGATGTATGTCCCTCTTGCTCTCCCTTCCAGCTTCGAATGTTCTTGTTTTTGCGCGCTCTCTCCCCTCAGTTCAGAAAAAATGCAACGGAGAGTGATCCTGTCAAGGTGGACGAGCAGCGGCAGTTAGCCATGAAGGGCCTGCAGCAGCTCATGGTCTACACCAAGATGGACACCAGCGGTCTGGACATGTGAGGCATCGATCGTGCGACGCGGGGATAGGTGTCGACTCAGTATGAGAGCGGGATGGCGGGATAGAGTTGGGAAGATTCCAGAGGCACGACGCTCAGCGACGAACAGCCGCAGGCGTACTCTTTTGGTATGCAAGCCTTACCGGTTAGACCATTGACCACGCGTCCTCGAGAGGACGGAGCATTGTTCCCACAGGACCGACCACCGATGGCCAATCATTCCGTCCTACATACTTCGAAGTACGTTGCCAAAGGTGGCTCAAAACTGTTCCCTAGCGTATCTATCCTATCGATATCACTTCCCGCCTTTTCAGCCCACTTCCTATGCCCCAGTACAACTGTCGTCTTCGCCTTCCTATTCCATGCCTCAGAACACCTGCCGTATCTTGTTCTCTACCACTCTTTTTCCCAGCTCAGTCATGCACACTTCCCTCTCCTTGTAACGGACATTCCCCACCTACATGAACCCGGTCTTCGCACTGGGAGCCGCAATCACAATTGAGCTTGTCGTCTTCATCGTCTACCTTGCGAAATCTCCGTTTACGTTCTCGAAGGCTTATGTCCCCGGTCCTAAATTTGACCTTCAGATTTGTCCCTGCATCCATTGGTCCATGTAGGTGCTCCTTGAACCCTATTCCTTCTTTCAACATTCCGTACACTTCTAGGCCCTCCTTATCCTTGTTTTTTTTTGTTAGATTCTGTTCTTCTCTCTCGACACAAGCAACAGATATCTTCTCCTTGAACCCTTCTAGACCTTCCGTTTCCAGCGTCCCACCTTTATCAATTTCGAACCGTTTCCATACGTCATCTACACCCTTGACCTACTCCATGGGTTGTCTAACCCTCTTCTTGTTTGACCACTTCGCCTTCCAAGCTATTCTCGGCAGCCTCTCCTCGCCCATACCGCACATGCGGTACTGTCCTTTTAGCGCCCCTGCGTCTCTTCCCGATCGTAGGGATTGGATCCCCAGTTCTGCCCTGACGACTGCATCACTTGTCCGCTTGGAGCGTCCTAGGATCATTTTCGCTGCTTTCATCTGCGCCGCCTCGAGCTTTTTGACTACCTTCTCATTTCCTTCCCACACTTCTCCGGTGTACTCTAGGGGCGGTGCGATTACGCTCTTCAAAACTTTCAATTTGATACGTGTATCAACGTGCCGGTACGCGAGTAGTAGGTGCAGCTTCCCTGCTCGTGCTTCGCCTTTTTCGATACCTTGGACATGAGTGCATTCCACGAGCAATCTTTTGTGGTCTCTACCGACCGAACTTCGTCTGCCCCCTGCACAAACACGCACTGTCGATAAATCGTACTAGTTCATGTACCCGGTACCGCCGCATACAATCCATGGAGATGCACTTATGTCATGCGCCCTCATCGTGTCGCCATCCCCCCCCCCCCCCCCCCCTCGGCTACCCATGGCACATCTGGTTTAGCACAAAACGTACGCAAGGATTATCAGTATCCTTCGCAGGTTTTTTCGATTACGTAAACATTCAGGATAAGACATACAATCGGGGAAGTTGGGTCAGGATTGGGGTTAGCGAATAGGGTTTACGTCCCCCCTCCCTTTTCTATTTCCTCATAAACTTGTTAATCTCGCGAAGGCGGTCCAGGATGATGGCAATGTCCATCCTTGTGAAACGTAGCATGGGCCGCCGAAAACCCGGCACATCGCTTCGTCCCGTCATCGTAGGGATGCGAGGTCATTGGTGTCACGACTACGGCATGCGGTTACATGAGTACCCCCCCCCCCGCCCCCTGCCCACGTTTCCACCCTTCTGCGTTACAGGAGCGTGACGTTGGAACAGAACCCTCTTGGAGGACCGACGCAACAATAACACGGAGATTGCCAGGAGCCTCCGGTGACGCTCGCGTTTCATCCGACGACGCCGACAAACCAGCTGGAGGTGTCTCAGGCGGAAAACACCACCCACGAAAACGTCCTGATCGCGGAGCCCCCTCCCTCCTTACTTAGGAAACGCTTTCATAGGGCCCCACTTTAGCAGGGTTGGGTTTATGTAGCACTTGGCAACACATCCACTAAAACAGCAGTTCGAGACTGCTGTTGTTGTGCCCTCAAGTTTTTAGCGGAGGTCATGAGATCGCCTGGGACGGGGACTGACTGCGGCACGGTTGGTGGTTTGGTTGTAAAACGTGACGGCCATTCCTCAACCCCCTTTCGGGTTTCTCTTTTTTATTGATGGACGTGTTTTATCGGGGGGTGGCATGTGAAGTCTGACGTAGATATCCGAATATATGGTTGAAGGACATTGCCGAGGGGACATTGCCGAGGGGAGGGCTGATTTTGTTTTTGTCGCTTTTTTTTTTGGTGTTATTTTTTGGGCAACCACGGCGGTTGCCTATACGGATGGGAGACGACGCCAATCATCCTCCTTTTTGGCGACTAGATTATCGAGCGTCAGGATCGATTTTATGTTTTTTATGCCAAACATTTCGCACGAACACTTGGGACCATCGCATGGCCGGCCCATTCGCACGCACACGGTGAAAGTACAAGGGCGTGTGAATACTAATACTGCATTCATGTACATAGAAAATGTCTATCAAGAGCTGATATGGGTTAATAACGTCTGGCCACGAATCATGTCGGGGGCTTGCCATGTGCGTGCAACATCTGCCCCTCTTCATGTAAAGTCAATGAAGTGTGAAAGCAATGATATGTCTTCTTGCACAGTACAGAGTATCGATTGCAACACGCAGGGTAGGGGCGGGGCCCACACCTGATTTTTCGCGCCCAGGCATGATCAAGTGAGACATCGGTAAGGGTGCTGAGTTTGGATTGGCGCCTGCGGCACACTTGGTTGAACACAACCTTAGCACGTACCACAAGTCACATGCAGGCGGCTAGCACAACGAGGTTATAACCTTAAGCAGACATGACACCTTCTCTCGTTGTTGTTGATGCCTTCGGAAAAATTGTGTGTATGATGCACCGTAAGTCCTTTGCAGGTCCGTTCCATGACCAAATGGACAACACGTCAAGAACGGAAGAATGGATGGTTGGTGTTTCTTGGATCCTTGGCCTACGTTATACGAACGGCATCAGTAATCGCTCGTCTACTGGTACAATGGTGGCCAAGACGAAACACGCACTCCATACACCATCTCGCAATGCGAACGGTATAGCCGATAGTATTCTGGATAACTAGGAACCGAGCACAGTCGTGGGCCCGGTTTAGCAGTTCCCTGTTTAGCGGGTTGCCCTGAATAGCGGCTATAAAATCTCGTGACATGGCCGCACCCCGGTTTAACCGCTAAACCGGTCATGCCCTCAATAGCGGTTACTGGACATATTTTCAGCCGCCAATAGCGGTTATCGGTTGAATTCCTCTCACACTTGCCACTGCTTTGGCAAATTTAATTAATCCATACAATCTCAAGTAATTAAGCAATTTTCGGTTTTTGACATGCAAGAGACACAGCGACATTGGTCAGCCGCTTAGCGTGGTCGATGCTCGTAATAAAAGCACATGGCAACACACACACAACAGGCGGCGCGGATGGAGAACTGTGGCTTTCAAATGCGGCACTGAGTCCAAGCGACGCGCACGATTGTATAGGTGGCTGTGGTGGCCGCATGCCCGGCATGTATGGAGAGGTGGAGGGTCCTGATGGCAACGAGATGCACCGCATTTGCCAATAGTGTGCAACCAAGAAGGCCCAGAGTTTCCCTCGCGTCTCAAATCCACCCAACAAAGCGCAAAGAGGCGGAGAATGGCTTTCTAGCACCAGGCGCGGAAAACAACAACTCGCGCTGCAGCTACACGACAGCCCCCCACGCGGCCCAACTTTGGCCAGAAGCTTGAGGTTTTGGATATTCTTGACCAGAAGGTAGCGCACTCAGAACTAACGCGCAGGAAGAGATCAAAGCTTTTTGCGCAAGGATCGAATAACATGCTCGTTGAGAAGTTCTCCAGTATGTACATGGAGGGACCTAGCTCCTCCGACGACGAGTTAGAGCTAGAGCGAGATCGCACCGCAAAAGTTGACGGTGCTAAGGGCAAGGGGGGTGATGGCGCAGCCGCCATGAGCTATCGGCTGATTTTGGCCAGCTTCAAGAGTGAACGGAGTTGTGTGACGTGGGCGAGGCAGCACACTATCTTCGCAAGGCAAAAATGGCGTTCCTCGCAGCGAATATCAGAGAGATGCATCATCGATCCACGCGACAAATGGTACAAATGAGCTGCCCAAGCACGCGGTTGGTTGCCATTGCGTTGTCACAAACTTGCTCCACGCTCGTTAGAGACGGGAACGATTTTCCAGTCTCAATGAAGGGCATACAGTCCGTCACGGAATACACGCTGTGTGAGTCGTGAATTGAAATGCACTACTACTGTGCTGGCTGTGTTGTCATCCTTAGGGTCGATACTTCTTCATCTGCACCTTCGTATGACTGCTGCAACGAGACACATGCAGGCCCTATCAGGATGAACTTTCGACGCTGCTCTTGTTGGCCAATAATGAATGGGCTTTTTCCCGGTTTAGCGATTCATAACCGCTAAAGATGTTTTGCGGCGATGCCCTGAATAGCGGTTACAAAATTTCGTGACAATATAGACCGCTAAACCGAGCCCACGACTGTTGTATCAATGATAGACGATTCCGACCAAGACAATGAGGTTGATGCGGACGGTTAGGTGAAGGAAATGGCGCAATCATCGATGCGATCAATCACCACCTCGCAGCACAGCCGTCAGGACAATCACCACAAAAAAAACACGGGAATGATGCACTCTGCAGTACGGGCGTTTCAGTACGAGGTGTTCCGGTAAGCACGCCATCATCCAACAGATCATACCGCTTCGTACTTACTCCCTCCCCGAAAAAAAACGGGGCCAACTTGAAATTTCCGGGAAAATGCCACGGTACGAGCACCGCCACCAACCCTTCACGAAAAACCATACCGTATTAAATACCCCTGAAAGGCCGGTTCGCATGCAACAGAATCAAACGACACACGTCGTCGCATCGATGGGCGAAAAAGCACAAGCATCAACCTCATGAGCATCAGCCCCTGTGGCGTGTGTGGACTCGTAAGCAGAATTCATTCGCGTTTCGATCCATTTCACTAGTCTACGGAAGCAAATAATCACTCCCCTCGGCTCCACAACATGTAGCCATCAAACAATATGTGTACCCGACCAATGCTGGAACCTAACCGGGCCAGCTCTACGAACAAAACACACAATGGAACAAAGGCACAACAAACACAGCACGAGTCCAATGAGGGTCTAGTCGGCATGATTTTCACTGCCGGGTGCCGGGTGCCTGGATCCCGCCTCCGCCACCTCGACCCAAGTCGATGACCAGGCCGGTAATTCGGTCGAGATTGGCCCTGTCGAGGCTGCTCCCTCCCGAGTACTTCTCCGCGTGCAGGACTCGGACCGTGTTGGCGATGATGTGCTGAGGGAAAGTCGAGCAAACGAAAATCACGTCAGGAACAGCGTACGTTGTTAACCTGCTGCCTTGTTTACAGAAAGGTAGAGGTTGGTGCTAAACGCTAAAATAACGGTCCAGCTTGCCTACCGATGGAGGGAAAAAAATGAAAACACAGTCTAGTATACGTGGGTTACGGTAGGGGTGAGTGCATACGGGCTTGCCCCGAAGAGTTAGTGGGGGTGGAGAAACGACGCCAATTCACAGAAAATAAAAAGAGTACACCCAACAGCAACAACGAAATAAACAGGAGCTTTGGGGCTCACGGTGAAAATGCTACCATTTGGTAGAAAACTTGACTGTTTCTGCAACAATAAGAACAGAGAGAACCGAGGCAGGGGAGGCGTGTTGAAGAAATAGGGTCATACTGAATCAACCAGGCAATACCTAAACATTTCGGGACAACTCTGGACGCACCCAGCGGGGGGCCATACAGGGGGTTTATTTTTCGCCAGGCATTTATTCGATAGCCATCGAGGGGATACACGCCTACAATACATCCACCGCTACTGCTGAAGCTGCGCACTTATGTAGACATAAGCCATACCTTGAGAGCGCTCGTGGAACAGTTGTTAGTGCGACAACAACAACGGCAACAACAAACCCCGAGAGCGCTCTCGAAACGGTCTTTAACGTGAGAACAACAACAACAAACAGCAACAAACCTTGAGGGCGCTCTCGGAACGGATTATACAGTAGGAACAAACAAAAAACAACAACAAACCTTGAGAGCGCTCTTTGCGATCGACAGTCCCGCCATTTGCTTGGCCTGTTCCTCGGCCACCGCCTTCGTCACCTCCGCAGCCACCAGCTCCTCGTATCTCGCCGACAGCTCTCGCTTCACACCTTCGACACGCTCCCCCGCCTTCGTTTCGAGCGTCTTCTCTAGGTCGGCGGCTCGTGCGTTGGCTCTCGCCGTGAGAGCGTTGGCTCTCACAGAGAGAGCGTTAGCGGCGTCTAGTTTTGCGTTGAGCGTCCCCTCCAACGAAGCTGCGCACACACCAGAGTGCAGAGGAGATACAGAGGAGATAGCACGAGGGAGAAAAACACAAGTCAACACGAAGCAATTGATGGAAACGACCCCCCGCTTGATTTCTCCACAACAGAAAAGTGGCAGCGTCGAAAATGGCGGCGTTGGGACCGTCTCGTCGAGAGCTGTCCGAAAACGAGTTTAGTTTAGCTTGCCCTCCCTCCTCGTAGTGAAGTACCTGACCTTTGAAACTCGGTCGAGGGGGGTGGGTGGTATCCTACGTAACCCTCGGTAGGCGTTGCTCACCTCTCGCCGCCGTGGGGTGGAGATAAGGGTGCGAGAGCAATCCATCCGCGCCGCCAATCGACGCGCGCTCCGCCGGATCCCTCCGCAAACACGCCCTCAAGGTTTCCACCAGGAAGCCGTCCTCCTGCAAACATGTGTCCAGCGACAACAAAATGGTGTTGTTCGAGGGGGGGGAGTTACGAGTACACTACCAGGCGTGCCGATCGAAGACCGTCCGGGGATAAAGAAAACGATGAAGCTAGATGTTGTCGGTTTGCGAAAAAGTGTACGTCGAAGTACGGTTTAGGGATTCGAGAGGGATAGAGAGGCGGGAGAACTGTCGTTATTGCCAACGGGAGAGGGGGGGCTCCGGCAGAGAGGGAGAAAGTGACAGACGGACAGACGGACGGACGGACGGAGAGGCCAAAAATAGTGAGAGCGGGAGATATCAACCTTACGTGCCGTGGTGTTGAAAGGAAGCCCACTCGCTCGCGCGCACGTTTATTCAGCCCTGAAGTTATCATTCCATGACGCACTGGCCCACCGCGAGGGAGCACTATCACACCCTCGCACCTTCACGGTTTCTCCACGCCAATGCACACAGCAACTCCCATCGAAATACACGTCAATTCACAAGCATCGTTAAGCGCGCAGCTCCGTCCGGATCTACAGTACACGAGCATAAAACAATATATGCTGTCAGTAACAAATATGCCAAAACACTCTTTTACCAGATCGGAGAATGCGATGGCGTGGTTGGGATCCGTGATTGCTCGAATCTTGTTCAGCATTCCGAGATGAGAAAACGGGGTCTTGCCTGAGAGGGTTTAGAAACACGAAAAAAATGAAAAACGAGCGGGGGGTGCGGGGCTTCAACGGGGGAACACTCCATTGTGCTGGATACCTCATGAGCCACGAGGAAGCTTCTCTAGGAAACAGATAAAGCGTAGGCAGGTGTACAAGGGGGACACAGCACATGGCAAGGGAAGAAAGGACTTCAAGAGACTTTTCGAAGACCACACAGTTTGGTGGGGGCGCGGTGTGATCATTGTTGTCTCAGCCAAAAGGGATAAAAAAACAAACGAAAGCCATCCAATCGTCTTCCCCATGAAGGAGTCACTGCGAAGGGCCATACGCACGCTTGTTCCCAGCGGCAAGCGTCCTTATCAACTGGGTGCGGCGGACCCTGCGAGAGCGATAACCAAAACCACGGGCAAGGCCGGTTATTACCGTGCGCCATCTGGTAGAGGATGCAGCCGAGGCTCCAGATGTCGCTAGGTCGGCCCTGCTTGATGACCGGCTTCTGGCTTCCTGTGGCGGGGTCCAATTCGCCGTTCCCCGTGTCCTCGAACGCCTCTGGGCACATGTAGTTCATCGTGCCGACCTGTTCGAAATAAAAAGAAGCAATAACAGAGCCGTTTCGTCGTTTGTCATCGGCAGTTACAATACAATGAAATTTTGGCCTCAGGAAATGATCATGAGCCTACCGCCACAAATGAATATGGCAAACCACGTACCGTAGAGTCAAGAAGTCGAAAACAAGGTGTGCCCGTCCAAAGCCGGACGAGTTAGAGATAACTGTCTACAACGAAAGCAACGAAACACCGGACTAGAGAAAATAAGAACTCACACGTTGGAAGGAGTAAACATAGAACAGTGGCCTTCTCAGGGTTTTTTGTATTATTTGAACATGTTGGGGATAAAGCATACAACTGGGGAAGTTGGGTTTGGGCTAGGGAATAGAGTCTGCGTTCCCCCTCCCTGTTCCATTTCCTTAAACACGAAGTACTTATTGTACTCGCGAGAAGGCGGTCCACACAGAAACACCGCACGTCTCGACCGCCGGCACCGAACGCGGACAACCTCGATAGACTCGATAGACAGCCCACCCGCGAGTCCCTCGAGATGTTCGTGGTGTCGTTGGAGATAGCCTTGGCGATGCCGAAGTCGATAAGCTTCAGGGAGCCTTTCACGAACACGAAGTTCGCCGGCTTCAGATCACCGTGCACCACCTGGGGAAGGCGGTGGGAGGGGAGGGAGGGGAAATGTAGTGGTGGGTGAAAGTTCACAGCCATGCATAGCCGTGAAGTCAGCAGAAAGTATGAGGATGGCGGGAAGTAAAAAATACGCAAGAAAGTAGACGCACGCGAGGGAAATATATATATGTGAAAAGACAAAAAGAACGAAAGTACTGTAGCTGGACTAGAAACTCCACGTATAGATTCTAGCCAAATTTTTATCCAACCTTATTGAGGCAATATTTTTCGGGGGTTTGGATGACGAGTAGACGCTTTCATCAAAGCCATGACCGCATGCGCCGGACTTCCACGGTTGGTACGCAGGAAAACGCTTCCGGGGGCTCACGGAAAGGAGGGGGTCGTGTAGTCGCACACGCACGTAAGGCACTGCAGACATGACGGGTTTTACATCGAAACACATCAACAAGATGGAGCGGACATGACGGGTTTTACATCGAAAGCACCCGAAAAATGGAAACGAATTGTTTTTCTAGGCTCCCAAACAAAGGTGCAGAATGAGCAAACCGTTCCCAAAAATGTATAAAAAAAAAAACTAGAAAATGGGTACGTGAACGGTTTTGCTTAGGGAGTACACGTCCACTCAAACTCACTCGCTGTTCGTGCATGGCCTGAACTGCCTTCAACATCTGCTGCCAGATTACCCTCACGAAATTGGCGTCCAGACCTCCCGGGAACAAGCCCAACGCTTTAGGGTCGGCCCTGGCGGGAAGGAGGCGTGATTTGACAGCGAGGGGGCGGGGGGCAGGGGTGGGAATGATGTACCAGCTAAGAAAGAACACAGATATCAAGATTTTACCAGAAGAACATCGGTGTGCGCGCGCGCTTGTGTGCGAGTGCCACAGAACAATACAGGTTGCTAATATTAACAATATGTTGTGCCCCCAGGCGTGTCAGCACAGGGTCTGACTCTAACTCTCACCGTGACGAGGCAATGGTAGGGGTGGCAATGACGCGCCACAACAACAGAAAACACTAAACGCGAGCGAAGAAAAAAGTCGTACCCCCCGGGCGCGATTCCCTTCTCACCGTGATGAGGCGATGTTAGCCTTGTACTGCCGCATCAACTGGTCTAGGTCCGTTTCCCCCAGTTCCAGGACAATGTAGATGAGCCCTCTTCTTCTGTCCACCTGGCATTGCCCACGAGTCGAGGGAACCAACATAGATGAAAAAAAACACACACACACTCCAAAACGGAATCGAGTGCAAGGTAGCAGCCTTCGTAGACAAGTGCGGTTTTCTTCTGTTGCTACCGTTTCTGTCTTTCATCCGGATAATAGGATACCGTATATGACACAAGATAACACACCCCCTTGGCCGATTTTCAAAGCTCGATTTCTCAACAGCAGGAAGAGTCACAGCGCCGAAAACGGCGGCGTTGGAACCGTCTCGTCGAGAGCTGTTCGAAAACGTATTGTTTCCTTTATGCATCCTCTTCGTCGTGGAGTAATCGAGCTTTGAAAATCGGTCCAGGGGGTGTGTTATCTTGTGTCATATACGGTAGTCTCTCCCATGGCGCCCCCTCACGGGGTCCGAGATCATGGCATTTAGAAGTGTTTCGTGTTTTCAGCCGCACTGAGACTGACGTCTTTTCATTGGTCAGCCAGTAAGCGCGGTCGATGCTAACAATAATAATAATAAAACACACACACAAATGACGCCCTCTCACGGGGTCCCAGATCGTGGCCTCTGTTGCCTATACAAGCATTTATTGTTGTTTTTCTTTCGAGTTGATTCATCATTGTCGGTTTCTAGATCACCAAGGGTGCAGAGAGAGAGAAAGGGGGTAAGAACTGGCGCTAGAAGCACCCAATCCTCGCGGCTGATTCCTCCCTCCAAAAACTGTCTCTCTCTCTCACTCTTTGACTAACGCCTGTTCATTCATTGGTCGGCAGGATGGCACGGTTGATTTTAGTAATAAACACGCACACACAAACACATTGGCTAGAGTTCGTGTTCGAGTATGTATCCCGCTACAACGACGTCTGTTGATTGGTCAGCCGGCTAGCGCGGTCGATGCCAATCCAAACACACACATTGATGAGAACGCGTGTTCGAGCCACTATCAAGTTAATTCACTACTGGTGTCTCGTCATTGGTGAGCCGTCGATGCAAATTCAAACACACACAATGGTACCCACAAGCACAGAGGCAGTCTTCTCCAATCGTCCAAGCTCACCAATCGTGCAGATCGACTCTGCTAAATGGAGCAGCGAAGCATGTATAGCGCCCCTGCTTCTTGAGCATACGCCACGTGCAACAACCGCGAGACACACAGGCATCCCGACAGGTGTGTCTGGCCGGCCGACACACCGTGCCAATATTATCGTTGTGCGGGGTGCCGAAAAAAGCTTTGGACGGCGAAATAACGCATCCAACTTCGAGAGCATGAAAAATTGTAAATACGGACCGCTGAAGAAGACCTTTCGAGAGCGAAAAACAAAACAAAACAGCCATAACTTCGAGAGAGAGAGAGAGAGAGCACCTCCGAGTTCTCGAGGTTGATGATGAAACGGTTCCCCTGCAGGCTCTTGAGTAGCTCAATCTCGTTCGAATAGCTATCCAACAGAGCTTTCGCATTTTCGGCGTGGTTATCCACCTTGACAACCTTCAGCGCCAGCATCTGACCAAAGATGACGGCAACGAAGACGGGTGGGGGGGTGCGTACCCATGTTTAGCATGGCTTTGCTGTTAGACCATCGACCACGTGTCCTCAAGAGGACGGAGCCTTGTTCCCACAGGGCCAATCACCGATGGCCACATGGCCACCCGTTTCTTCCTACTTTGCCAAAGATGGATGACAAAGTAACAGAATAGGGGATTGGGGTTAGCCGACAAAACAGATCGCTCAGAAAAAGAGGACACACCGATGCTCATTCCATTCGCGGAGCCACCCGTGACCCTGCGTAGGCAGTTGTACGCCAAGGCTACTTAAACAAAAATTCACAGCACCGCCATATACAACAGCAAAACCGTAAACCAGGCAACAGCGGCGCCTCGGCCACCGTCATCTAGAGAATTACCACGCATGACCAGCGATGGCGACTCATTCCCCAAGAAAAAAGAGAGGATGAGCAACACACATACACTCACAACCATGTCGGTAGAACTCTCTGATTAAAAAGCGTGTTCGATTTCGTTTGTTATCCCGCTTCGTGGCTGGTGTCTTCTCCTTGGTCAGCTGGCTAGCGTGGTCGATGTTCATTCAAACACAAACACACACGAACTACCGCACCTCGCAATCCGGAGCAACGACTCTGAAAACCTTGCTGCTGCCGCCCCGTCCAATCTGAGCCGTCTTAAGGTACAGGACTCCGTTCACCATCACCTCCGACCAACTCCTCTTGTGCGAGACCGACGAGTGGTCAAAGGCCACCACCTAAGGAAACCCCGCCGCGACGCGACACACGACAAACAAGAAAGAGGGGTTTCCGTGATTTTTTTGCCGGGGGGGGGGGAGACGGGAGAGGGCGCTAGGGGGGGTCCGGGGGGTGAATACGGTGGGGGCATGGGGGAGGGGGGGGGGGTACCAGGGGGAATGGGAGAGGGCGCTGGGAAGAGATTGCGGAGGGAGCTGATGCTTAGCTAACTAGCAGACAAACGCACCAACCAACGGAGAGTGCGTGGGCAAGAATAGGCTTGCCTGGGGGATGGGGACGAGAGTGAGTTACAGCTCTACGGGACAAACATAGGCTGTGGTAGTGGATAGCGTGGAAAGTCAAAGTTTGTCGGATGGAGCGATGCTTTGGAAAAATCCAAAGCTTTGAAGGGAGGGACGTGTCCGCACAATGCCAACGTCATGTGGGTCAGACGAGGGCGAGGGGAGACCCATCACCAGGGGAGGATCAAACCATTTTGGCATGGTTCCATGAAGGCAACGTAAAAACACGAGACGGACACCTAAGGGAAAGACCCGCGATGCAATCAGTATCCATCGGGTTTCCGGGCGCTTAGCATCCACGGCAAACTACGGCCACATCAAAAAAGAGCGGGGCTGCAGCGACTCAGTCGAGAGCTGCTTTCTAAATAGGGATCCATCGGCGCTGGCAACTTGTGCGTTCATGATTCAAGGTCGGGTCAGGCAGTACGCATATCTATTAAATAGTATAATCACACCCAGAGTGAATCTCTGATATCTACGTCTGGCGTGTAGAATGGAGAGGAAACCATCCGTGGATACCATCATGTTATGCGAGCAAGCTTAAGGTCAAGCTCAGCTAGGACCAACTCCCCAAAGACGGCGTCGCGTCGTCGAACTTGCAGGCAATCAATGTTGGGCGTGTGGCGCGGCAACCGCAGAGTCATGCTCACCTTGCCAGGTTTGTCGAAGCTGCACCCCCTGCCGCCGATGCCCAACAGCCCACTTGAAGAGCTGGCCCCATCGCCTAACCCCTCGCTGCCAGCACCACCTCCGCCCCGGTCGCTTTTATCTGTCCGCTCAGAGCCCACCTGCGGCGTCAAATCTCCCTTCAACCCCCCCCCCTCGGCAGAAAAAACTCCGGGGCCCCTGCTGCTGCTGCTGCCGCACGTCGACCAGGGTGACTCCTCGCCCACGGGCAATGCTGTCGCCGCCGGCGTGCCCCCGGGGTTTTGAGCGGCGACACCGGTACCGTTTCGGGAGGCCGAATTCTCGCCGCCCTGGCTCAGCCCGCGGAGGTTACCGCCGCTCCCGGCGCCCCCCGCCGTCATGACGGGGACCATAGGCCGTCCGCTTCCGGTCCCGATGGTGAGGCTCATGTCTTCGTCCTCCTCGGCAACCTGGTGCATGCCCCCCCCGGCCTTGCCTCTCGCTCCTCCAGTCCCGCTTGCCGAGCGCCAGAGCAAACCACTACCACCCCTTTCGAGGAAACCCCGCCCGCGGCTACCACCGCCGTTGGCGCCGCGATCATGCGTCGTCGCCACGGAAGAGGCGGGATCCCCTGGCGCCGCCGTCCCTGATACCGCCGGCTCCGACGGTGCCTTCTCCTCCTCGACGGATGCTGCTACTGCTGCAGGACCAGCGCCCGTTCTCGGCAACCCACCAGCTCTCGAACCGCCCTCGTGCGAGGCGCCTGCTGTGGCCGTGGTCAACGCTCCTGGAGCTGTCTCTGCGGCGGCGGAAGGCGGCCGCAAGCGTGACGGTGGCCGTGTCCCCGCCGAAACCGACGATGATCGCGATTCCACCGCACCGGGCCGCGGAGCCGCCGCCGCGTCCGCGCTACGCCTCCGAACCTCCGCGTCGTAAGCCTGGAGCGCGAGCATGGGTCGGATGGAATAGGCAAGGATTGGGCACGGGCAAGTGCATGGCTGTTAACAAGCTGATTTTTCTTTTCGGCATGGGCTAGAGAGCATTGGAAGAGGCAGGGGTCGGGCACGGGCAGGTGCACGGGTGTACCACACATTCATCCTTCTCTTCGCCTTGGGGCTAAAGACCATTGACCACGCACCAAAGCTCAACTAGAATGCGGCAAGGTTAGAGTATTCCTCAAGACCGGGTTTCCAATTTTCGAGGGATGCTAAGGCGCGGAGGCGGGAGGACGTGCCAAATGGAGAAACGGGGGAGGAATCATGGACGGTCGGGGGCTAGGAAAGACACGGGGAATTCACCCACATCACGAAACCTACATAGCGCCCGGTGTATTAAACTCCTACAAGCTCAAATTTGTTGGCATCTAAAACAGATACTTCCGTCACGAATTAGGACACAGGCACTACTCAAAGTACAGAATTACTTGGTGATTCAGTCTGAGCCAGCCGAGCAAACCGGCATTATTCCGGGCACCGGCCCCATTCAACCGGCACTAAACAGCCCCCCCCCCCCGTACAGGGAGATGTTTGAGGCATGGAATAGAGAGGAGAGGACGGTAGCTGTACTGGGGAGTAGGAAGTGGTTTGAAAAGGCGGGAAGGGATATCGTTAGGATAGACAAACTAGGGAAGACATTTTTGAGCCACCTTTGGCAAAGTAGGAAGGAACGATTGGCCATCGGTGATCGGTCCTGTGGGAACAATACTCCGTCCTCTCGAGGACGCGTGGTCAATGGTCTAACCGCTAAGGCATGCAAAACATAAGAATACGCCCCCCCCCCCCCCCCCCCACG